AGGCAGGCAGGCAGGCAGGCAGGCAAGCAGGCAGGCTGGCTTTATTGGATGTATTGCTGCAGCTCAAAGTATTGATTTGTCTAACCTTTTTTATAATTAATTGATGTAAAAGTCATTAATGGACAAATAAGACTATGTGTTTTGGTGAGAGGAACAATTATATCAGTATATGTAGCACAATACTTCAAGAGAGATGTGGGAAACTTCAGCATACTAAAAGATGCTATATCTGATTTGTTCTTAAACCATTGTTGATTATGATTTTTCATCCAATGCAGCACTGGAATGAGTAACTTTCTTCCTTGAGAGAAAACACTGGGTTCCTTAGACAAAAGGACATTCCTCAAATGGAGAGAACTGGGGGCATCAGTAGATATATATAAATATAAATGTATTTGAAAGTACATTGATTTGAGCTTAATTGTTGAATCCTGTACTGAAAATATAAATACCTTGTTTCTTCCCCTTCCCCCTTCCAGACATGGATGAATGTTTTAATTGCCCAGAAGATCACTATCCAAGCAATAAAAATGATGGCTGCATTCCAAAGGTTATAAGCTTTTTGTCTTATAAGAAGCCCTTGGGAATCAGTTTGGCCACTGTGGCATTTGTCTTTACTTTTTTAACATCATTGATTCTTGGAATTTTCTTTAAGTATAAAGACACTTCTATTATCAAAGCCAACAACCGTAACCTTACTTATACCCTTCTAATAGCACTCTTGCTCTCCTTTCTATGTCCTTTTCTGGTTTTCAACCAGACAAGCGGGCATGTCCCTTTCAACAAATTGCTCTTGGCATCATCTTCTCCATGGCAGTTTCTTGCATATTGGCCAAAACAATCATTGTGGTGCTTGCTTTCCTGGCTACCAAGCCAGTATCTAGAATGATGAAATTGGGAGGGGGGGGGAGGATGAGCCTTTCCATTATTGTTTAATGCTTCTTTGTTCAAATAACTGTCTGTACCATATGGGTGGCAGCTTATCCCCCTTTTCCAGATTTCGATGTGCATCCATAAAGGAAGACTTTGTACTAGAATGCAATGACGTTTCCCCTCCAGTGTTCCATTGTGTCTTGGGACTGATGGGCTTCCTGGCCATTGTTGGCTTCACTGTGGCTTCCCTAAGCAGAAATCTACCAGACACTTTTAATGAAGCCAAGTTCATCACCTTCAGCATGCTGCTGTTTTGCAGTGTTTGGATATCTTTTACTCCAACTTACCTGAGCACTAAATGAAAATCAAGGACCAAATCATATCAATTAGATTAATAGGCAACCCTTTAATATGACAATCATTCCATTTTATGCTCCAACCACCGAGTTATTGCTGCCCAAGGGGCGCACACCAGTTACTGAAAGCAAAGGTTCACATACTTTTGCCACACACAAATAGATAACTTTGGATCCTTTTCCTCAATAAATAAAGGGACAAGTGTAATGTTTTCCATTCATTTGTTTCATTGGGTTTCTTTACCTAGTTTTAGGACTTGTGTGAAGTCCACATAATGTTTTAGGTCATATTTATGCAGAAATATTGAAAATTCAAATGAGTTCACAAACTTTTAAGCATCACTGTATCTTTCAGAGTGTCAAGAATTAAGCTAAGCTGACGAGTGAGGGAAAGCTAGGGAAGTCACAAACATGGCCTATTCAGTCTGCCACTGGAGTGCTCATAAGCTGGCATGCCAGGTGTGGTACCACAATTATTCTCCTGATTTGCTGAAGGATTTGGAGAACAAGAAATAGCAGAATATCAAGAGGCACTCTGAAAATGCTCACCTGCTTTTTGGGGGAGCATAAATCCACCACAACAGGCTCAACCCCCATTCCTGAGCCCCATTTCCTCTTCACTCTATCTTACTATACTTCAAGGTTGATGTCCTTCTAGAGCTTAAGTTATTGTTGTAGTCCTACTTTTCAAGGTAACTCCTGTATTAATGAAAGGGTTGGGCAAAATGACCCCAACAGATGCATTTTTATTCTTTTATTTTTCTCTAACTATGTTTTGTTTTTTTCTTCTGTGGCTTCCCCCAGTTCCTACTTCATGTCTTAGTTCCAAAGGTTCATAGCAGTGCAGCAGTGTCTACTGAGATATGATAATCATGTTTCCTTCGGATATTTTTCAAAGTGCTATTGGAAGCAATAGTACTAATTACTAATTAAGTATAGTCATTGTCCCTTCTTCTCCATGTCTCAAGGGAATTCCAGCAGACACTGACAAAACTATGACCCCAGAGTAAGATATTACAGTACATTAATATCTGCTCAGAAATACAGAACTGCATGTAGGAAAGAGGAGGAGGAGGAGGAGGATTTGTGCTTGATCTGTGATACTTCATTGTCTTCACTTCAGATAATGTTCATGAGGCACCAACCCAATAACTCAGTTGCATGGTAACACAGGAGGTACCATTTCATTCTAAAATGATCATATATTATAGTCAGTTGGTAATATTTAGAACACTGGTTTTACTCTTTTTTCCAAACATGGTGTTCATTTCTCCCATTCGCAATTGCAACTTCAGTGGTCCTCTTCCAATTGTTCACAAGTATTATCAGCCTGGAGACTTAATCATTGCTGCTATTATTTATCAGGTCTTCTTTCTTTCAAACAAGATCACTTTTCAAAGCGTTCCTTCTCATGAAGTGCTTGATCAATACATGTAAGTATCCTCCTCCTCCTCCTCCTCCCCCCTGCATTGCCACCTAAACACTGTATTTTCTTTCTGTCAGTTTTCTGCTCAGATGTACCGGTTGCTAGTTGGTTGGTATGACTAGTTCCAATGGCCATATTTAGCCACTTTTAACTCTGAAGCTAACAGAAACTGAGCTTCCCCTAACACTGAAGTGTGAGTTAAGGAAATTACTATGGATTTGAACCATAATCTATATGAATTACGTTTTTCCCCAGGAAACTTCCTTCCTGCAAGAAAGTCCTCCATTGAAAGTAAAAAGCTTGACTAATCTAGGCTTTGCAGATGCCCTCTGGTTATTCCTGAGATTTTCTTCCTTTCATCTCATCCACAAATGAAGCAGGAAACCCTCAATTGCCTTTGAGAAACTATTTCATTCTCTTACAAGTCTCAGGTGGGAAAATGGAACTGGCTTCCCACCCTTAGAAAAAGACACACAAAATACATATAGAACTGAAATCAAATGCTATCTTAGCTCAGTGTTTCCTACCCCCACCACCACATCAGTTGTACCCAGTCCATAGAATGTAGGGCTCTTTTTTAAAGGCCAAATTTCAGGTGTCCAGAGCTGAGGGTATGTGTGAATATACATAACAAAAATAGCAACTGTGTGATTCTAAAGCAAGGAGATATTGACTTACTTTGTAACTCTCACTGAAGGTTTGTCACCCATAATTACCAACACACTTTGGCTCTGGCATTTGCTGTAAAGGAGATCAATGAACATTCTGAGATTTTACCCAATGTTAGCCTCGGTTTCCACATCGCTACCGACTATCAGGAGGAAAGTTCAACTTATCTTTTAGCCCTGGAATTTCTATCTACAAAAGACAAATTTATCCCCAACTACAAGTGTAATGACCAGACCAATACAATAGCTGTCATTGGAGGACCCCGTTCTCAGACCTGCCTCAACATGGCAACCATTCTGTGCAACTACAAATTTCCCCAGGTGAGAAACAAAAACAGAGCAAGATGTGAAGTTCATTTGCTGTTTATTAAATTCAGGCACCAGATCTCCATGAAAACTCTTTTTAGAAAGATCCCAGAAGCATGAAACTTTTGAGGCAAGATGAGAAATTCTAGAGATATAAAGAATATCACCAAAGGGCTGTCCCTTTTAAATTCATGAGCAGTACTTAACTTCCAGATGTCAAGTTGTAAAACTGTAGTTTTAAGGAACCCTCTTTTGATATCCCACTCAGATCCAGAGATTGGGTTAAATAAACAGACATTCATTGCACATTTTTTTAAAAGAAAGTTCTTTTTTGCCTTTGTTCTTCTTTCTTCCCATCATTTAGATCACATATGGATCAACTCCTTTCATGAAATATGAAACAGGAGCACTGTTTGTCAAATGGATGTTCCCAGATGAGATCCACCAGCTGAATGGAATACTACACTTACTATTACATTTTGGATGGACCTGGGTTGGGCTGATTTCTCTATATGAGGAAGATAGAGAAAGGTTCATTCAAAACCATCTTTCCATGTTTTCAGAGAGAGGAATCTGCTTTGATTTTATAGAATGTATGGCCAAAATGATGTATGGAAGTGAAGCAGCTGAACTGATGGAAAAGGCAGATAAGGTATACAAAGTGATCATGGGGAGTACAGTCATTGCAGTGATCTTGAATGCTGAAAATACAGGAATGGTGGCTTTGAGAGTAATGATCTATGTTTTAGATTCTGATGATATTCCTAAGGAGAGAAAAGCCAAAGTTTGGATCATGACAGCCCAGATGGAATTCACCTCCATCCTTATGCAAAGACAGCTGCCCATTGATTTTCTCCATGGTGCTATTTCCTTTGCAATTCACTCCAAGGAGCTGACAGGATTTCAAAAATTTTTGCGGAAGAGAAACCCAAACTTTGAAAAAGAAGATGGCTTTATTAGGGATTTCTGGAAAGATGCATTTGTATGCTCATTCTCCAGTG